TGATACTAATATTTGTGTCTGTGGCCAAAATGTAACACAGAACAATGACAAAAACAAGCACTTCCATACCGTAGGAGGCACATCTCTGGCCCACATGGTGAGTGTGTTCCAGTGGACATCATGCAGGAAGGTGGAGCGGTGCTCGCCCAGGCCGTAAATGAACTGGCTCTGCAGAGAGGTGGACAACTGGAGAAACTGATCCGCATAGAAGAGAGGAGCCACTGTGGTGTTCAGACTGACAGGAAACCGTTGAAAAGGGAACACAGAATATCATTAATTATTGCATTACAACAACTGTATGTGCCTGAAGAGAGTTTCTTGTACGTAATATTTGTCCAATTGTTAACACTAACCCTTTATTTACCTAACCAAATGAAGCCTATTCAAGTCATTTGACTTACAGCACTGCTCCTGTAGAGCTCCTCTTCACAATCAGACCAAATGGCTGCTTCGAAAGCTCTACGATGTAGTATGGACTTTCTGCCTTTTTGGTGGTTGTGGGAACAGAGATTGGAACCTCAAACCTTGAATTAGAAGGGTCGGTAATCTAGATTGAGAAATTTGAGAGAAATAGTTTATAATTAAATAACAGACCAGATCATTTACAGCGGTATGTAATAAAAACCAATCAACTGACTTATAAAAAGGTTATGATATTATCTTTGCACCCTTCTGGTTTCATCTAAAGACTGGCACGGTGGATCTTATTGAAACCTTTGTTCACATGGCTACAGCTTATAATGTGAATCTGTTGCATGCTCGCATGTATAATGGTTTGATGAGATTCCACTTTACCCTTGTTTTCATGAACTCTAACTCTAATTAAACAACAACTCAGTGTGCAACAATGTAGGTCTGTGCTTGTTTTTTTAACTGGTAATAGTATTGGTGAGTCTTTACGGTCAATTACACAGTGGAATTATTTACAGCAGGGAACATTTTGTTGCTTTCCATGAAAAATATGATACTGCATGTAACCAGTAAAAGCCCTACAAAGACCCATAGTAAACACTGACAGCTGTTTTCACTTATTCCGGCTAATTAGACCTCTGTTCTGGACTGTGTGGGTGTATAACAACCATGCTGGAAAGGCTTTTTTCACGAGAGACATTTTGACATGTCACACAAAGAAAAGCACAGGTGTCAATATACACTTAATGAGATGGGCTTCAGTTTCAGGGTCCTGGTTCATGCTGGCCCTGTTTGGCCGACTGGTACGCTTGAATAAAAGGGAGCCATAGTTGATGTTATTAGTAACACCTGTGCTTTCCCTACTATAAAGAAGTCAAAAGAAGTTGTTGTGAAAAAGGCCGTGGAAGCATGCTGTGTGACTTATTAAATATAAATTAATACTCAAGCGAGTACCCAACTCACTCACCCTGACACGTAGGCGCGTGTCGGTCTCGTGGCGTATCTCCACCTCTAGAGTGAGGATATCTGCTGGATAGTAGGTCTTCACGTCCCTTACGAGCGTACCTTTCTGTCCCAGGGACGTGTCGTTTATCGACACAAGGGAGTAGGAAGGGAAATCCAGAGGATAGAAACACCATGGGATGCCGTTTCTCCCCGACGGCCGGGTGGCTGATGAGAAGGGAGCGGATGCGGGGATAAAGCAACAGTTCCTTGCCTCACACAACTCTCGAGTCACAACCACCCCTCTTTCAGGGTAGCAATCAAACCTCCATGCCTCAGGGATTAAACTGCAAGACTGCTGGCGGAAGGCAGCTGCAGTGTCGTTTACTACTGGTGTTTGTGCAGAGGCCGGTGGCAGAGGTTTATGTGGCTGCTGGTTGGACGGCCTGTGCAGCCAGAATATAGTCCCCAGTAGCCAGCCTCCACAGAGGAGCAGCAGCAGGCAGCCAATCACCAGGAGGCCTGAGGTGACGGAGCATGATGGCCTCCGTGGAAGCAAAGAGGCTTCCTCTGGCTCCGGCACCTTAAAACAAAACATGGAAATCAGACAAGCAACAAACTGAGAAAAAGCAATCTGCAAACCAGATGTCTCACATGACTACATTTCCTTTCTAGTATGAGGAACAAAACCATCAAAATTACAGCTTTTTTATTTAACCAGAAAAGCCTCTATGAGAGCAAGAATCTCTTTTTCAAGGCTGTTATACTGTATGTTACAGAATAAGAAACATAGAAAACAACACAAACAAATCCTTGAACAATCTAAAGTGGCAAAGCCACCTAAGAGCTGCCCTAAAGCATAAAATAAATTGACAAGTCTGCAACTAACCATTGTTTTTATTATCACAGGTTGACATCTTATTTTGTCCAACCAAGAGCCCAAAACTAAGCCAAAGAAAAGCAACAAATCCTCATAACTAAGAAGCTTATTGACCAATGGATTATTTATTTCAGCTCTTTAGAAGATTGAACTAATACGGTCAAAACACAAAAATAATGATACTAACATCTAGACTCTAAAATATACCACCAGACTGGAAGCCTGGAGAAAGACCATGAAGTCGCTGCAGCAATGATTTAAATTCCCATAAAGAGACCAATCCTTAACACTGTCTGCAGAAGGTCTGAGGCAGAGAAAGCAGTATAAAGTTTATTTATTATTATAGATAAACATAAGAACTCACTGGAACTTCTTCATGAACAGGCCGAGGCTCTTCTGACAAAGCTGCATTGGAAAACTGAACATCTTCAGGGTTCAGCCGCTTGTATGACACCATCCTGATAGCGTGTGCTTGTTAAAGTGAGTGACTGGACACACGAGAGAAAGAGAGACAGAGGCAGCAGGACAAAGTTCAGTACAATGACAGATATCATTTCCTGAGGTCTGGAGTTGGAGAAGTGTGCAAAAGTGAAGTGAAAATTAGTTTTTTCTGATTTGACAGTTGATTTGAACGGTTTCATTTTAACGCCGTAGCACAAGAAAGGTCCAACAGAAAGCAGAAAATGTGTATAATACAGAATAAATTGGCACTATAAAGAAGATTTTTTTTAGGATCATTTGTTTAAGCGCACACACACACACACACACACACACACACACACAACACTTAACATGCAAGGACACCTTAAGCTACCATAGATGTGCAATTACACTGTCAATAATCAACAGACCCATTTCATAACAGCCATTTTGACATGAAATAGTAGGTAAACACAGGTGTTACCAATGATACCAACTAAGTTTCTGTTCCATTTACTGCAGCTGAGCCTTTTGTGTGCAATGCTACTATTTAATGTCAAAATGGCTGCTGAGAACAACGGTCCATTCAGGTATATTCACTGATAATAACTAATAGGATATCAGAACAACGCTGCACCTTTCTCCTCCATCCTGAGGTCACATATCGTGTTTAAAGCAGGTATACTTATGAATGAAACACAGTCCTGACTCTGTGGATGTCTCAAACACAACCACTGAAACGATCTCACGTTATATTCACGTTATATTCACGTTATAATCACGTTATAATCACGTTATAATCACGTGAACGTACACAGGGAGGCTGCTGATGTTAGCTGTTGCACATTTTGTCCCAAGCACCGACTGAAGCTAACTTTAGCCAGCATTAGCCCCGCATATAACATCATGTGAATGTCAAAGTTCACCAAGGAGACGGTTGCCTCTTTAGTTAACTGACTGCAGCTGTGGGGACTGACCGACAAACACCCGGGGGGTAATCACATTAATGAGACAACAACAACAACAACCCGGTCGCCGTGAGACTCTGAGTGCTGCGTTAACGTTATTAGCCTTAGCCGACTTTAACGTCACTGTAACTTCAGCTAACGTTAGCCGACAAGAGCGTTAGCATTTCTTACCTCGGTGGGCTTTGAGTCTTTTGAGAGACACACAAAAAAAAAACATACAGCACACAGATCAACTTTTCCTTTAAATAAATATTACGTTAGCTAACGTTGAGTAATTCGTGACGCTAATAATCTCAACCGTCCGCACGGCGTGCGTCTGTTTATCTTCATGTCGCATTCAGTGTAGCTCGTAATCCCGAAAACTTCCGGATTAATTGTCCGACAACAACCGCTTGTGTCGGATTTTCGATCTGTTAACTAAACTCATAATGTCATGTTATGTGCTTATGTAAACGACGACATGCTATATATAATATATTAATGTTTAATTAGAATATTAATTTATGATTGGTCATGGGGTCTTTTTTTTTAAATCGAAGTGTGTTTGTGTGTTTCCTTGCCACGGTGCTGCCTTCAGGAGCAGCTTTGGATTTTGTACAACCTTTTAAATGAAAAGTCTACCTGTTAATAAATCTAATATAAGTAGATAGGTGCGCTGAGGCAATGCGGCGTACAGGTTTTTAACAATAAAGATAATATCTGGATAATATCAGAGTGAGCTGGTTTAAATAACAGTTCTTCAGATAGAAATTAGAACACATAACCAGCAGTATATACTAGTAGGATATTAGCTGTATAAAATATAAAGCTGTCACTTCTTTTTATCTTGTGGGAACATTTAGTAGAGGAAAGAGTAAACGATTGAGTGAGCAGCTCAAATTGCTCTACGGTTCAAGAAATTCAATTATTATTGCTTGGTAAACGTTGTTCTATATATTTTTTGCAAAAGATAACATCTACCGTCGCCTGTTCCCACAATATGTTTGGTTGTCCTTTCCCACACACCCTCCAGCAGGTTTGGGCAATCATACTGAAAGTCAGATGGGGGTAAAAAAAAAGAAATATGCAGCCAGAGACAAGGGAATTAATTTCACAGATGACATCTTCTCTGAAACTACCTCCACTCGAGCAGAAAAAAAACCATTTGCCTTATTCAAAACATTCACGCATGACCTAGCAACTCTCAGGCAGATTTGAATTTGGAATATTGTTGCTGTATAAATGCTAACACCCTCTTGATTTTTAAGTATTTGTTCAGAGATCTTTCCAGTGTCAACAGTTGATGCCTTTATACGAAACATCTTAAATGACCTTTGTACATATATTTGTACCTCTCGTACATTAACCTCCGCAGTCAGAAATCCCCAAACAAAACAGTGTTTAGTACTTTTACTTTTATTGTTCAGTATAACATGTCTCATACAATTAGACAGAGGCAGCACTGGGCAATATTTACCATCTACATGGCTTCATGACTTGGCTTTTGTATCAGCCTTAGAGGACGATGCCTTTATTCACAATGGTTACTTGGCCTTTGAGAGTTGTCTAAACCAGGTGAACCCAATTCATGATTTGGTTGTTGAATAACTTCTGTACAAAACAGAGATAAAAACATAATCACCACTAAGGCAAAATGGTTTTGGCAAAAAAAAAAAAAAAAATACCTGATGCATATCATAATCCCATTGCTTCATTACTGCATACATATTTCTGACATTTCAGTAGCTCATACCTAAAGAATGAATTCCAGTTTCACCTGATTCCTAGACTGCTCATTGGCCCTCGTAACGTCGGATACAAAAACATAATTATTCTTCAATCCAATTTCCACATACACAATTAGTTTGAATGACAAATACTGCATGGAAAAAGTGAAATCACAGACCTTCAATGAGTCATTTGTACTACCATAAATACTAACGTGAGTGTGATACTTCAATGCAACTAACATAGGTAAGAGTGATAAACGCGAATAAATATGACATCTAAATTTATCATGTTAGCAGTTTTCCAAGACTTTTTTTTTACCAAAGTAGTGTTTGTAGTAAATATTTGTTTGGTCATTTTGTCTGAAACTGTGTTGTCAGTTGCTGAACATCACCTGACATGTGTCTGTCTATTAATTTGTGGGAGTTAAATATTTTAGCTTTAATACTTTCTTGTAAACCACCACGTAAAGGTTTAATGAAGGTCTATTCACAGAGGTAGTCCTTTACTTTCCCCTCTTATAATCCATGTTTTACTGCCTAAAATCTTGTATTGTAATACTACTACTGGTACATATCTCTATGGTTTATATAAATACATTATCAGTCATTTTTGTCTGTTATACACATATTAATCGGAGAGTTATCGTCGCTCTGTGATAAATCATCGTTCTTCACACCGAATGCCGACTCCTCCTCAGTCTGTATCTGCTCGTGTTTCCTTCTGTGGAGCCTCAGGCTTTGTGAGCGGCTGAAGCCCCTCCCGCAGATGTCGCAGCCGTACGGTCTCTCGCCTGTGTGAAGCCTGAAATGGTTCTTGAGGCTTGAAGCTCGCGTAAAACTCTTTTCACACTCTGGACAGTCAAACTTCTCCCCAAAGTGGATTTTCTCATGTTCCCTCAAGCGGCCGGACTGGTTGAAGCTCCTGTCGCACACAGAGCAGTGGTAGGGCCTCTCTCCTGTGTGCGTGAGCCGGTGTCTGTTCATGGCCCCCGAGTGGGCAAAACTCTTCCCGCAGTCCGGGCAGGAGAATGGTTTCTCTCCCGTGTGGACTTTCTGGTGACCTTTGAGTTGACCTTTCTGCGTGAACTGCTTCCCACACAGACTGCATTGGTAAGGTTTCTCTCCCGAGTGGATTCGCATGTGAATCTGAAGAGCAGACATCTTGTGACAGTCTCTTCCACAGAGCCCGCAGCAGTAGGAGCTCTTTGTCAGACTGTCGTTAAAGGGATCCTGCACTGGTGAGGCTGGAGGACTCTCTTTTTCACTGTCGCCGACTTGATCAGGATCTTCTTCAGACACTGTGGAAACATAAGAGACAAGTTAAAAGGCACCATTTAGTAACACAGAAGACAGAAAATAAGTGATATTAACCTCTCTGCTTGTTAAGACACTGCTCACTATGGAATCCAACATGATATAACATTGAAAGTGGATAAAAACAAATTATACGATGATCAACTTGTATGATATGTAAGCATTATCTTCCAGTCAAGGAGCGAAGCACATATGAATTTATGTTTAGAGCAGCACAAAATGTTTCACCCTGCTATGGACCGGCACCTGTCCAAACTTAAAAAATGTCCACAGCAGTAATATTCATTTTACACACTTCTTGATAAGATATCTCTATGGGTACAAGTGTCCACTTCGAAGCATAGTCCTGACACTAGAAGAAAGTGAAAAGGTAAAATGCTGGCTTTTCATCCTAGGAGTATTCCACTGAATTTAAATGGACTTATCAAAGAAGAAGCAGTACAACGTTACACAGTCTGCTAATCAGTCCCTAAAGGAATCTCCTAAAGGAAATGTTATGTTTAAATTAATCAGAGGAAATTCTATAAAACTAATGAAATTCTAAAGGAGCCTTAAGAAGAAACACAAAATCAACACTAACCATAAGTGCAGGGTTCTCATTTTCAAACCAGTCAGTCAGAGACACCAAACAGTCAGTCGGAGTGAACTGAAAAAAGACAGTCCACTTTCTATCATTTCAAATGTCAAAATAATAGAGAGTGATGGTTCTTTCTCCAAGAAACCACCTTTGGTTGTGAGACAAACAAGGTACAAAAAAAAAAAAAAAGAGCACATTAAGAGAGCATATTAACCAGACAAAAGCTAAAGATTTTGCTGTTTGGCCAACTCAGAGCATTCACATTATATTAGCTACAGTTAATGAAGTCTGTCAGTGAAACTGGCTAAAAATGAGAAGCCTGCTAATTAAACCTTTAGGTGTGTAAAGCTGGGCAGACATTGTGTGTTTTTATGCATCTTCTATGTTATGTTAACTCACACTGAGAGTTTCAATTGTCCTTTCTGTACGGACAGATCCTCCAGCTTTTATGCTCATGCTGTACAGATTAATTGGTTGGGTGGCTCAGGAGGTATAGCGGGTTGTCCACTAATCACAGGGTTATCAGTTCGATCCCCAGCTCCTGCTGTCAGTGTCTTTGTCCCCAAATTGCTCCCTTTGCCAGCACCCTGCTCACTGCTATCACTGGTAAGTTACAAGTTGTATGGATACAATTATAATTGGATAAAAGTGCTGTATTAGTATCCGCCACGACACTCCCACTGAACAAAAGCATGGACCCCCTGGTCTGTTTTGTCCATTGACAATTCCAATTAAGTTTATTCAAACAAGTCAACGGTGTCCTCAATGTTGACAAAAAATAAGGAAAGGTAATTTAACTGTCTTGTTTTGCAACTATGTTCAGACTTATATCACAGCAGTCAAGATTACAGCTTTAGCTACAACGTGTAAGCTACTACTGCTTATAACCAATCTTTTGACAGCAGCCGCGGTGGAAGAGGAAAAATTGTGGAACTGCTCAAACTGCAAGACCGCCGGCCCAACATCCCCCCTCAAACAATAACCTGGCATGAAAGTTGTCCCAATTCTATTCGATCTGATTTGGGGCTTAAAATCTGTGGTAATTCATACAGTGTCTGCCCGGCTTTAGGTAGTGCCAACTGCAGTAGAGAGTAAAGCTGCACACCATAGAAACACTGGAGGGTGAAACAATAAAAGTGAATAAAAAGAATGCTGTAATTTGTGTCTTGTAAAATAACAGCTGCGGGGAGGCGATAGGTCAGTAAAATCAATAACAGGAATAAATGAGAGGGGAAAAAAAGTTAGTTCAGGAAATTTTTAAACCTAATCCATTTTTTTTTTAATAGCACTAGGTCCATGTTCCTGGTAAAAACTACATTTCACAGTGATCTGCCCCTTTACTGTGCAGTATTTTGCTTACTGTTGACAAGTTCTTCTTCCTCCTTTACTGTAATCCTAATTTCTGTGTTGCTTTCCTGCTGCTGCTCTTCAGTTTCCTCTGGTGTGGTACAGTCCTCACTACCAGACACCTGGTCAGGAGATTCTTCTACTGGAGAAGTTGAAAGAAAAAAGAAAAACACATCAATATCGAAATCATCATCAAAGGCATTTATGCTCCATTAGAATATAACAAGAAAATCTGGAAATCTCATTTTTATGTACCACACAAAGGTTCCTCTTCTTCCTCCTCTTTCACTATGACATTCATATGCGGACAGGGAGTGACGTCCTCCCGACGGTCTTCTGGTTCTCTCAGATTACTTTCACACTGAGCTGCTTTGTCACAGTTAAGACTCTCTGAGGAATGGGGCTCAACTGCACTGGGCAAACTCTGACTGTCAGACACCTATAAAAACAGTTGCATAGGAACAAATGGAGGCAACAATGAATTAGTGGGTTATAAAGAACAATATGTATTAATGTAGGAGAAACTGAAAATACTACCATAAGAAAACACAGATTTTACTTAAATTGCTGCGTGTTGTCACTACCTCTGAGCTCATACTGTTGTTCAGGTCCTGCTGGGATGTTTCACCGACTGCAGCTTGAACTGGGTCTGAGATGACACCTGTGGCTGATCCATTCTTGTTCTGTGTACATGATCTTTTGTGGTTTCTGAGAGTTCCTGCCAGTGAGAAGTGCCTCCCACAGTCCGCACAGGTGTACGGCTTTTCTCCTGTGTGAATCCTGGTGTGCCTCCGAAGCTCTCCCGGAGCTACAAAAGACTTGTCGCACTGCGTGCAGCTATATGGTTTTTCTCCCGTGTGAGTCCGCATGTGTGTTGTCAGAGTCCACTGCTGGGCAAATGTCTTCCCACAGTCGGAGCAGTGATAGGGCGTAATGCCAGTGTGGAGACGCTCGTGTCTCACAAGTGTACCCGACAAGGCAAACCTTTTGTCACAGAAAGAGCACTGGTAGGGCCTCTCTCCGGTGTGAGTCCTCTGATGATCTCTGAGCTCAGCTGCAGAGTTACAGCTCTTGTCACAGTCCGAACACGGAAACTTCTTCCTAGTAAAGCCAGCGACAACCTCAGAGTGCATTGCCTCTAAGTGAGTTTTCAGATGCCAGTGTCGGGAAAAGCTCTTAAGACAGATGGAGCAGTGATACGGCCTCTCGCCAGTGTGTGTCCGTCGGTGCAGCCTGAGCTCACCCTGACTAGCAAATCGTTTCTCACAGAAAGTGCAAGGGAATGGCTTTTCCCCAGTATGGACCCTTTCATGGATCATGAGCAGCCCCTTTTCGGGAAATCTCTTCTCACACATCGAGCAGGGGAAAGGCCTCTCTCCTGAGTGAGTGCGTAAGTGGCGCTGAAGTTTAGAGGCGTAAGGGAAGTCTTTCCCGCACACCGAGCAGCTGTGAAGAGACGGTGGTTTTTCATTCTCGCTTTGATCAAATGTCTTTGAGGGAACCTCTGCAGGTACAATGCCAGGGATGGCACTCTCTCCTGTGTGAACAGAAAGATAAGAAAGCATTTTAATTAGGAGAACAAAAAGGTGGAAGAAACCTTTTTAAAACGGCTAATCACTGAGCACAACAAACAGTGATGCTGATGGTGTTCAGACATGTAGTCCTATATACTGTTCAAATCTTTTTGGGAAAAATGGGCTCACTGCATCTGTGCTCTGTATGCAAGCTTTCAGACACGATGCATTCAAGTACCTTCATGCATCCTAATCTAAGACAGACACGTCAAACTTTGCTGGGAATGCATAAAGGTGGATGTCTATGCCAACTTTGTATAATTATTATATATAATAAATACTGCACTATAGAAGTAGCCCAGAGTAAATGTCTTTTTAATCTTAACCATTAAAATAAATTCACTTATCATTTAGAATCTAACTATGCCTCTCTGTGTCAAGATATTCTTTCATCCATGACCTCTACAGTAGATATTAGTAGGGCTTGCTCTGAAGGGAAATTAGCATACTGTATTTGTTTGTTTACTAATCAAATTTACAGACAATAGCATCCAGATGTTACAGGGGTTAAAAAGAAAAATGCAAATTACCTGTATGATAACCATGCAACAAACATCCCATGCATTTAATCAATTCTATGGCAAGTTTTGAGCCTGTACTATGTTGTGATGTATTTCTAATGTATTGGCAATGTAATTTCAGTATGCAGTCAGAGCACCACCACCAACTATAAAAACTCAGTGTCAACAACTAAAAAAGTTTCACAACGTTAGTATTTCTTACACGCCTGTTATACTGGATTGCATTACAACGTAACTGTGGTCCTATTCTTTATACTTTGCTGGTTACAATATATTTTCTCACTGAGATCTGAGAAATCCACTTCTTCTCCATCAGAGTTGATCAGGCCTCCGATTTCTTGCTGATCATCTTCAGCGAGGATCACAGCTGGTCCAAAGTCCTCTGGGTTTTCGGAGCCCATCTCTCAAATATACAACCTGGTAGAGGGGAACAATCAGGAGTCAGAAAACAGACATTTAACTTACAATTAATAGCAAGTGACTGAATATAAACAGCCTTACACGGACAAAAGCTTCACAATTAACTAACCAAGGGATAAATAAAGTATTTGGCAGACAACTGAGCAACCGCTGATGATGCTGACTCTTTGGACTATTAGTACATTAACACTAATCTATCATTGGATGTGTGGTCCACAAAAACACCAGCTTGTAGACAGACAGTGATTTCAAACAAACCAACTGAATCATTTCAGCCATTATGTTTTAGATTTTGTTTCTTAGCTTCTGAAGGAAAATTGAGAGGTTATTTACAAAATGGCAAATCACTACAAAGATAAATTAATCTTCTGCAGAAAGTGACCCAACTGATAAAGTCTAGAGTCAAAAGACGTGTATTATTTGCAGTAAGCTAAATAATGTATATATCAACGACAGTCACAGATAATACAGGCTGATACTAACCATTATATCCAATGTTACGAGCATAAATCAAGCACGCTTTAATGGTCAAATCTGACAGCCTAAAAGATACAATTTCTCTTTTCTTTAATTGTTTGTTCATATATCAAAGATATAAGAAATAATTATTCTTGTAATTAGGATTAAAAGCTTGCAGCATGCTTTCAAACATATGTGACATACTTGGGGTGGTGACATGGATGAATCATACTATTGTTTTCAGATAGCAGCACAATATATTTGATTACTATATTTAGATCCAGTTGTGCTTTATCTCATAGTGCTGTGATCAGTTATGTAAATAACCCCAAAAGGATTCATTCGATAACTGTGACTGTCATTTTTTATTTATTCCGTTCTGGTTCAGCTTTAGATTTTCAACCTCCAGCACCGGATCTCACCCCCCACCCCCTCCACAGGGAGGATCAGCTACACAGCAGCACCCCTCCACCCTGGCAGACATCCATTGTCCTGCTCAAGGACACTTCAGCAGGGTGAATGCTTTGTTGTGACAGTGTGCTTGAACCACCTGGCTGGGCCTGATGGACAGTCTACCTTAAAAAAAAGGAGCTGTCATTACAATCATGTAGTTGTTTGTTGTTGTTTTTTTTTTAAACCAAGAAGCTATTCAGGTGCAGCATTATTGATCATGGTGCTGTTATATAGTGTCAAAACAATCCCTGTGCTTTCCAGGGAAGCACTCGAGGAAATCGTGCATCTGCACTGAGTAGCCCCAGTTAGCTCAGTAGCATTAGCTTGGTTATTGGGGGGGGGGGCTCTTTTCTTCACCATTAATTACCATTTAAGTTATGCAGCAACCTAATTGACTGACCTGTTGGTATCTACGGAGTCATGCTATCGATTACACCAGGAGCACACGCACGCTGCAGCGCAGACAAACCCGCGGTTTGACCTCTGAATGAGACACACGTCTTGAGTCTGGAGTCGTGAGTCGGCGACCAGCCCTTTCGGTCAAACGACCACCTCTCAGAAAACTGTTATGAGCCGGAGTCGGGTCTAACCACCGACATGGCGTTCACTAGCTCTGCTGCTGATGGCTCACGATTGAAGCTACAGCCGCTAACCCAACAATAACAAATAACACTCGCGGTAGATTCACAGACGTAAAAGTCCAACGTGAATTAAAAGAGAGATGTTAATAATGCTGCATGTGTGTCAACCCTCTCTCCCCCCCTTACTCCTCTCTGTTGGTGTAACAGTCGCTAACTCAGCTAGCTAACGTTTAACGACAGACAATAGACATTTTGACCAACCTCAGCATAGGTTTCTCCCTCAGGTACAAAAAGAAAAAAAAAAGAAAAAGTAGTCGCTCGATAGAAGTTTATTGAAACTTGGCAATAGCTCTTACTTCTCTCTCATTTTCGTGCTCGTTGTGTTGAAGCAATGTGTCAAATTAAGGCCAACTAAGTCATGAGTTAAGTTGAAATAAGCGTTTGGAGCTGGTGGTAACCTTTCTAGCTTTAGCTGCTAGCCACTTACAGTAGTGTCGGAACTTCCGGTTGGGTTTTTTTTAAACGTCAAAATAAAAGCACGGCTACTAGAACTTCTTGTGTTGTGGGTTTTCTGCAGCTGTTTTGCAAAACACGCACACATGTCGAATATAATAATGCTCACACGAATTAAACTACTCAGCAACCACTTATTCTTAGAATATAAAAAATATCTTGGCTATTCACGTCAGCTATATTTACCCATTGCTATAAAAAATAACAAGTGTGTGTGTGTTCATATATTATTTTAGATTATTATAGAGTAAAAGCCAATGTTGTACTTTCATTTTTATTGTTTTATCTTATTTTTGATCTTACTTTTAGATATATTTCTATTTCTTTTTTTTTTTTAATTTTGAACTGTGCTGTTTTTATCATTTAACTGTATTGAATCTACCGTTGTGTATGAAACATGCTTTATAAATATAACTGCCATGCATTGCTTAAAAGACCATCATTTAATGGGGAAATAGAAAAAGGAAAACAAAATCTTCTTTGGATAAAGAAACAGGAAAGTTTCAAACTTTTTGATGGTCGCCCTGAAGGTTTTCCAGGCATGTTGGACTGGTAGGACACTCTGAGGCTGATCACACTGGGAGAAACCTCAGGATCAGCCTGGAGGAACCGGAGGACATGGTTGAGGAATAAAAATCATCTGGGCTACTCTGCTTACTGAGATAAGCTTCTGAGCAGTGATGGATAATGTTCAAAGACTATAATTAAAAATTATAATAAAAATGAGAGATATTTTTCACAACCGACACTCTTAGTTACAGTAACTAAATACATCAGTACATTACAATCAGTTGCATTACATTACAGTCATTGCTGGAACAGAGCCAAAATTAATGTTATTACATCCACCTGTTTTTTCCTGCTATGACAATGCAAAATATCTTCTATAAAGAAATTAGAGCGGACCGATTTTACGTGGCCATCAACATGATGAAATAAAGCATTTTCGTGTTCTCGGTATTATTATTAATGAATGAATACAATTCTACTATTGTTGTTACTGTAGTTTTACTAAATTAATGTTTTCAAATATTATATTTCAGATTTTCACAATCTTTTGATAGTTTGAGAGCCATAATTTGGGTACAGAAATACATTTCCAACACTGGTAGAAGTGACATTAACATTATCCTGCTGTATGAATCCGAATCAGGGTTCCCACTATTTTTAAGAAAGCATTTTCCAGGAGTTATTTATTGACAATACAGGACAGCACAACACATTTTTTTCCAGTTTTATTCGTCCATTTTTAATGATGCAGGGCCCATGATGAAGTGTCTCAGGTTCATTATAGGCATGTGGTTAATATTTATGAGACTCTGCATTAGCTCACTTTCCACTGTTCTCACAGCCAATTGTTCTGCAGCATCTCTGGTGATTTGACTCTAACCTAGGGTGACGGAGACAATCTGAGTGAGAAAATGAAATAAAAAATATCTAGGACAACATAGATCATTTCCAGGATATTTGTTCATTTTAATCAATTTCCAGGCGTTTTTATAACTGGAAAACTAGTCTCTGAATTTCCAGGTTTTCCAGGACGCGTGGGAACACTGTCCAATGCATTAAGCTGTTTATGTTCTAGCCTAAATAAAAGGCACCTATGAAGTAATTAGATGTTGTGTTTGAAATATATTTCAAAGTACTTTTATACTTTTACAGTTTTTTCCTTTGTAAGAAAAAGAAACACACAGAAACAAATGAACAAATATTCACAATATAATGATTTATTTTCTTAAATACTGTAGTCCAATACAAGTATGTAATAATGGAGCTGACTGTACACCGTATAATACATGCAATTACTATCATATTGAATATAGATAGTAATAAAGATATTTTATTTCACATAGTAACAGAGGAGCAAACCGTAATATATTTACTTTTACTCTCTATACATTCTCAGACTTGTGAATTCCCCAACGACATTATTGATTATTTACCAGTAACAGCTGTTGTTTTGGTCTCCCCAGCGGTTTTGTTGGAGGTTTTGGCTTCTTGTCGTGAATCTTCAAATGCGCTCGATAACCTTGAGAGTAATAGAAGCACTTGCCGCATTTCTCACAAGTATACGGTTTCTCTCCAGTGTGAACTCGCAGGTGAACTTTCAGGTCACATGCTTTGGAGTAACTTTTACCGCAGATTGAGCAGAGGTGAGGCCGCTCTCCGGTGTGAGTCTTGAGGTGCACGTTGAGGTGGGAAGATTGTGAGAACGCCTTGCCACACTGATCGCAGTGGAAATTCTTTTCTCCAGTGTGCGTCAGCTCGTGTTTTTTGAGCGAATCTGCTGTGACGCAGCTCTTCCCGCACTCTGAACACAGGAAAGGTGAATCTCCCGAGTGAACGCGCTTATGTATTTTAAAATAATATTCGTTTTTGAAAGTCTTGCCACAGTCGGGACACGCGTAAGGTTTTTTGTGACTCTGGCGATGTTCCTCCAGCTGTTGTTTCTGAGGGAAATCCATTCCACACTCTCCACATACATGAACCGTTACAGGAGATTCTTTAAGGGGACTCTTCTCTTGAACTAATGTCCAATTTGGTAACTCTCCTGTAAGGAAAATAAAGACATTTATTTTCAGACAGCTTTGCATTGTTAAGGCATGGTCACACCTGCGTTGAAAAAAAATGTGCTGCGGAATCAATTCATAATCAATGGAATTACTGTACTGAGTGAACTGACTGTAAATCCACACACTGTTTTGCCTTTAGGCTGTGTTGTATCATCACTTTTATTAAACCACCTCTTTTAAAGACCCAGTAAGTAGACTAAGAGTAAAGAGTAAACCTTAGATATCCCCTAATGTACGCATCAGTGTTGGCAGAACTGGTTTCAAACGTTTATTTTTAAATGGAAAGATCTGCAAACTGTTTTCTATGAATCTTGTAACTGTTAACTCTATCTATCTCTATCTATCTTGTTTATTGTGTAGCTGTGTTGTTTCTGTTTGTTGACTGTTCTTGTTCTCTGGTCTCTCTTGGAAAACAGATCGTAAAATCAATGAGACTGCCTCATTAAATAAAAATAAAATGGAACAAATTTATATCAATAAATACATCTGTCCCTTAGGCGACTCACTTGCAGAGCTGCTACTGGCTAGCTAGCATATTAGTGGCTAGCTCACCAGCTACAGTTGTTCATCAACTAGCCGTGAGAGAAGTCACTAAGTTTCTATGACCAAATATTTCTCGTAGGCACAACCATGAATTTTGCTGTGCCACTTTTAAGGGCTTTTAGGGCATAAGTTCCACAATATTAATCAATAATAATTTCTACACATAAATAAAAAAGAAGACTTTTTAGCATAAGGCCACTGTAGTGGAAGCTCAGATCTGTCATTTAATCAGAGAAAAAACCTACAAGTTATTAAGGTAATATGACCAGTTCAGAAGATTTAATTGAAAAACACATAAGCAGAGCTTTCTTATTTAAAAAATAAAAGTAACTTCCTTAAAGACCAAGGAGCTTCTTGTTTCCACTGACCTCTGTGAACCTTCATGTGTGTTTTGAGGTTTCCACTCTGAGTGAATCCTCTTCCACATATGAAGCACTTGAAAGGTCTTTTCCCCGAGTGAATCACAAGGTGTCGCTGCAGAGCGGTGTTGTGAGAGAAAACTCTTCCACAGGTCGGACAGTCGTAGTTCTTCTTGAATCTGCGAGGCCCTTGGTCTTGTTTAGGCTTTTCCTGAAGCTGTTCATGGGAGCTGCTGTGTTCAGGTTCCGACCGTCTTAAAGTTTCTTTTGAAAAAAAAAAAAAAAAAACATAAGGTAGAGAACATATGGTCACGTTTTCTAAGAAACCTTTAGCGAGCAGCTCCAGTAATAGGGGGAAAGCATTAACAACATTAACATATTATCTTCTCATAAAGTTAATATGAGAAGATAATAATATTTTAACCTCTAGCAAATACAGAGTATTTTTAGCTTTTACTCGAGGAATGTAAGTAATGTAATATTCACTCTCCATTTAGCTCTGTTTTCATCTCCATCAACTCCTGAGGCAAATACGTTATGTTTCTGTGTTTTGTTCCAGGCTTACTGTCTGTGAATGGAAGTATCTTTCTCGATGGACTGTGGATTCCTTTCTTTACTTTAAAGCTCAAACAGCATATTTTATGTCATGCCAATGACTCCAAGTGGTAGAATTTGAACAACAGTAAAGACAATAATTCTTACACATCTGTAAGATTTATATGTGTTCACAGAAAACACAAGTTCAAACTCACCTGTAGGTGCTGCTCTGCGACTCTGCTCCTCTGTTTCAGGTCTGTGTTCTTCATGGTGAGTCACCGCTCTACTCGGCTTTCTCGGGTCTATTTTCTTTGATGTGGTGTTGTGTGGGAGGGGTGGGGTGAGCTGGAGCTCAGAGGGTGGTGATACAGAGGAAGTCTCAGAGGGCCAGGAGGGCTGCTTCGCTGGACAGCTCTCTTTAAAGTGCTCTTGATCCTGTGATCATGAAAGGTTTAAATGATCAACATGTGTCACAAAATCAAAAGCAAAATGCAGTTGCCATCTCTTTATTTAAAAGGTTAATTGTGTAGAATTTAGTGTCATCTAGTGGTGTAGTTGTAGACTGCAACTCACTCTTTTCACTCTCCCTTTCCAACCGTGAGGGAGAAACTACAGTGACCGTGAAACATGCAAAAATGTGAACAGCCCTATCTACAGCCAGTGTTTGGTTTGTCCCTTCTGGGCTACTCTAGAAACATGGCAAGGAGGACTCTACCATCTGTAGATAAAAAAAAACCTCAATACAATCTGCAACTTCACCACTAGATGCCATTTAATCTTTCACACTGGTTCTTTAAACTAATCTCAAAAGGTACTGAACATTTAAAGGTAACAAAAGATGCAATCCGTCTCGAACTATCTTATGTAATGAAAATTATATAAATGTGAGGCATAATCAAACCTGAGAATGCTGCTGTTGGGTACTATGGACAATTATATAGCAACTTCACACAAATTCAGTCACTTTCTCACATTAACAAGTCAGGAATTATTTAGCATCACTTACCGCTGTGCCCCTGAGCAGGGCACTGAAACCAACGCTTGCTCCTGCTGGAGCACTGTAAGCCTGGTGGCCCTCTGCTGCTCTCCAGTTGGATGTATCTGGGTTTTGGTCCCAGAGGTTGAATGCTGTATAATGACCACAGTTCCACGGAGTTGTCTGTAAAATATATAAAGCAACAATGAATGTGAGGGATGTTTCCAGGCCATTAACTAACATCTATATGATTCAGTTTCTCTCACCTGACTGCGGTTCTCTGCAGCATGGTTTTCTTGGTTGCCAAGGTGATGGTGGGGCCTATTTCCTGTATAAACAAATGACTCATATTCATTGTGTAACAGCTATTGGTCAAGTGACATAACAAATAGAGAGTTCAAAGTTCATGACTTACTAAACATGTTTTGTTACTGCTGCAACTCATTTACAACTTAGAGAGATGATCTTGAGTAAACATGTTAACAGTCAAAATAACACAACTGTACAGCTTTTATACAACTATAGCTGAGACACAATTAAAGATACATTTATTTTAATTTCTATAACAAATGATGAGTTCCATTTTGGAATAAAAACGTTTGTTTTACATAATCCAGCTGTTCTGATTGGTTTCGAGATATAATAGTAGTCTCAATATTTCTTGAGTATAGTTTATTTTTTTGACCTTTTACTTTTACCTCCTACATTTTTACACAAATATATCATTATTTTCTAATAATTACATTTTCAAAGCTCAATACTTAGTAGTTTGAATGCACTTGTGGGGAATTACTGATTGACAGATTTTTTTTGCATCATTGTACATCTTCAACATCAAAACTGGTGCAAATCACACATGACAGAACAGACAACAGAGGGAGACTCAACTGTTTAAAGTTTCAGTTAGTTTGGCACAGAAACAGCTGGTAGAAATGTCCTCCAGAGAAACCAAGAGATTACTTTTTACTTTTATACATATATATATATAAATATATAGTATTTCAGAGCCTTTACTTTTTCACTTTTACTTCAGTCAGTACTTTTACTTTTACCAGAGTCTTTTTCAGAAATATCTGTACTTCTACTTGAGTAAAGAATGGGTGTACTTTTCCACCTCTAATTTTAAGAGGTGTTGTGTAACACGGATTACCTGTAACGTGTGGAGCAGAAAAATAAAGAAAATCTCTATTATATTTATATAAATAGTTAGTGCTTCGCAGTCTACAGTCTTTTTAACAAGTGAAAAACAAAATGTAAAACAGGATTTGGAGGAAGCCCTTGCATTATAGATTCCACGTGAGACACAGCTTATCTAGTAAAATGATATACTGTTAAGCTGGATAGATTTATTAATGACGTTTAAAAGAACTTTAAAAGAACTGGTAATGGATGATATAGTGTGTTTTACCCACACAGGCTCTGATTTGATTAACTCAGTCAATCAACACACCCACCGAGGTCAGGAGGCTCCCAGGTCAGATCCTCTCCATCTGAATCAGGCGGAGCTCTCTGTGAGACCTTCTTGGGCCTGCTTGACTTCCTGGTGCTCCCCAGCAGTCTGGGTCTGCCCAGCTGCCTGGTGGGCCCGATGGGTTTGGCACTGTGAGTCTTCTTATGGTTATTGAAGCCTTGCCTGTAGTAGAAACTCATCCCACATTTGTCACATTGGTACGGCTTCTCCCCTGTGTGAACTCTGAGGTGAACTTTAAGCTCTTCGGCTCTTGCATACCGTTTACCACAGATGGAGCAGAGGTGAGGCCTCTCTCCTGTGTGCGTCACATAGTGTGCTCTCAGAGTAGATTCCTGTTTAAACCTTTTTCCACATACAATGCACAGGAAAGGTTTCTCTCCTGTGTGATCTCGCATGTGGTTCTCGAGTCCCTTTGAGGTCTGGAAACCTTTATCACACTGTGAGCACTGGTAGGGCTTCAGACCGTCGTGCCAAGCTTCGTGGTCGTTTAATTTCTGGATGTACATGAATCTTTTGCCACACTGTGTGCAGGAAAATGGTTTCTTTGATTCGTGGACTTGTTTCAAGTGTTCTTCTAATAGTTGTTTCTCTGAAAATTGTGTCCAACACAAATGACAGAAGCAGATTTCCACTGATGATTGAGCTTCTTCAGACTGAGGTAAACTTCTGTCTAACGCTGCCATGTTGGTTATTTTCCCTATTGGAAGACAAACAGCATAAAGTTCATACATTCTTAAAGCTGCAATCATCAATATGTTAATATTACTCTGCAGTTCCCCTCAGATATGCAGAGGGTTTTAGCTATTTTAAGCTTGTTGTTTTGGTTTTAAGACAACTTTACTGGTCTGGGTCACTCTCACCGTCATCAAGGTTACGTTAGGTCAAGGTCTAATCAGTAGGCATCCATTGATTTATTATCCTAACACCGATATTTATCTTGTTGACTGACATCGGTGTATCAGGAAATGAGATGACATTCACAGATATGACTGGCCAATGTTTATCTGTTGTGTCAACTCAGTTTTTTCAGATATTGGAAAAATAATGACCTCTGTATTCCAACACTGGTACAAATTGCACACATATCCCTATGTGCTCCACGCAGCAGCACAGACAGTGAGCGACTGTTCAGCTCTGCGTCTCAAATCTTGGATGAGAAGAGAAATAGATTGAGCTGCAGCAAGGCAGAGATGCTGACCCTCGCACAAAAGGCTGAATAAATAACAAAATTAAAATATCAGCATCACCCATTGACCAAATTGTTGGTGCATCCCTACTAATCAGGCAGCTGTTTTAAAAAAAAAGCTAAGATAAACAATACCTACCCAGCACCACATGACCGGCAGACAAAGTTAGCCAGTAGCAGGTGAACATAGTTGAGATCAAATCTTTTTACATTGGACCATTTAGCTGCTATTTTTTTTTCAGGAGTTGGTGGAGATGAAAATCAGAGCTAAAAGTAGAGTGAATACTGGACATACATTTTTACCAGATGGCAACGTGAACATGATTCCAAATAAATTCTAATGTTGCTCTGTGTTCGCTACATGTTTAACTGGGAACTGTTTTCTAACTCATTAGCCATAACAACTTTATAATGTACTCAATGGACAAAAAACTGTCTGTTAATGCACATTTAAAACATTTATCTCGAGGTGCCGTGTGGATATTTTTATCTTAATTAAGTTAATTGGAGAAGGCAAAATATTTGAATGTCTAAGAACATTTGTAGTAACTAATTAAAGAAGTATTAAAGATGGGGTTAGTCATTCATCATGGAGTCTCATTCCCAGGTTGTTGGGTACGAGACCCAACCTTTAAGTTTGAATACTGCTACACTTTGATGTGTATTTGCTGACTTATTTCCAATTATACGGTAGAATCTAAAAACCTAGAATATTGGAAAACTGCCAGATAAAAAGAGAGACAATCACAGAAAGTCTTAAAATTAAAAGGGCAAACACTGTAGACCTCAGTGATCTCACCTTTATGAACCTTCTGGTGCGTTTTGAGGTTTCCAATCTGCGTGAAACCTCTCCCACACAAAGTGCACTTGTATGGTTTCTTCCCTGAGTGAATAATAAGGTGCCTTTTCAGGGAGGCACTAGAGGGAAACTGCTTCCCACATGTTGAACAAACATAAGTCTTTGGAGCCCTTTGCTCTTCTTCAGGCACCGCAGCCACTGCAGGTGCTGGATGGTATATCCGTCGGTGGACTATCAAGCTTCGGTTAACTTTAAATGTCTGTCCGCAGTCGCAGCACTTGTGAAGTGGCCGTTTGCCATGTTTCTCTCTCTGATGGCGGTCTCTGGCGTATACGCTCTGGAAATCCTTGCTGCATTCTGGGCAGCTGAAGAGCTCCTCAGCCTCAGTTTTCTTCCGACGTTTCCTGGGTGTCGTTTTCAGAGAACGGTTATGTTCAGGAGTGGCGGGCGTAGCCGTGTGTGTGTCATCGGGTAATGTAACATCAGGGGCCTTACCTGCATGTATGAAACAGAAGCTGGTAGGTGCACAGGTGCAAGTTTAGGTATTAATATACTGTGTTTTTTTATTTTAACTTTGGACTTAAAGGGTCAATTCACCAAAATCACAAAAAACATAATTTTTCATTTCCTCCATTTGTGTTTTTAGCTATGCATTTCATTTTGGTTTAATTTGTTGAGAAATCAACCTCTGGAATTTTAACCTCCTTCCCAAAACAGAGATAATTACTGGTGCTCAGAACATTGTCAATTTTCATCCAAAAATATTAACACCATCTCTATCTCTATCCCAGTGTGGCTGTTAATCTGGAGAATGCAGAGACCTCACTGCCATGTGTTTTCAGTGGAACAACTTTCTTCCAGAGAAACAGACCCTATGAAAACTGTTCAGTGCTTTGATCTTTCCTAAATAACCAGCACATTGTCTTCTGGGAAGGACACACTGTGCTGGGTTTTTCAGATGTTTTGGGGTTTTTTTGCTTTGAGTCACACAAACAAAATTACATCGACCTTTATTATGCTGAGGTTGTGAAACAAATCTTAAAACCTCAGCAAATAAAACTTGCATGGCTCAATACCACTAGTGGTAAGTTAGAAAAATGTGATGTTGTTTTTGGTGACTGACTGAAAAACTATTATAACATAGAAAATACTTTTTTGTCATATTTACTGACAATATATCCTGACAGTAGTACATGGGACAATCAGGAAGGATTATTGGTATCATAGGCTGATTGTTGAGTGTAATTCCCACATCTCATGTTGAGACTGAAAACACAACTGTTTCTTGGCTCTGATTGGTTGTTTTCGTTCAGGTGCAATGGACTGATGCAGAATACCATTACGTACACGAGGAAGAGCCGGTGTAACTAGATTTTTTCACACGTCTCATGTACTACAGTCAGGATATAATCAGAGTTTGAGCAAATATGACAAAAAGTTATTTTCATAAACTACTGCATTTTATATTCTAAGAAGTCTGAGAACGTTTATGACACACTTTCAGGCCTGATGCTAAGACACCATGTTTTTCTTTTCCCGAATCAACTTACCAACAGAATTCCCCTCCAAATGTAATGAATCTGAGCTGATCTGAATACCGGTCGTCTCCACTCCACCCAAAGTCTCCGCAGTTTCCTTGACTTCAGATGAACATCCATGTAGGCTGAGGTGTTTCTTCAGCCTGTCCTTGCGGGAGAATCTCTTGCCACAGACCGGACAGGAGAAAGGTTTCTCTTTGGAGTGGATTAAAAGGTGTCTTTTCAGTCTGTTCGGGAAATTCAATCCTGTCCCACACTGGGAGCATCGATGAGGTTTAGTTCCATGGTGAGTCCTCTGGTGTGGTTGTAGAGTTCTGCTGTATGATAATTTATTACCACACACATGGCAGTAGCACCGGTCCATGCTTCTGTCCAATTGTTGATCATCAGTTTGATGCACATTAGGAATGACATCTAAAAAAATAAAGAGACATTTCGTTTTCAGACTGAAATAGAAAGTGAATGACATTCTTTTCGTCATTTAACAGGAGCAGCCTCACCACTCACACCTCTATTAAAGGAGGAGTGAACCAATTCAATGACAATGACAATTCATTCATTCACAAAACTACTTCCACTTACTAGATTTGCCAGGATCCAGTTCCTCTTCTCCATCAGCAGTGATCAAACCACCAACTGCATCGTCTTCATCTACAGTCGTCATAACAGCGTGTGTTTTCATATGTGACTTTACATGGCTCATCAGAGGAAAGTTCACGCCACACACAGGGCAGAAGTAAGGTTTCTCTTTACTGTGGGTTCGCAGGTGAACAATCAGAGGGTTTCGAAAGGTAAACCTCTTCCTACAATAGATACATTTGAAAGGCTTGACTCCTCCGTGGTTTTTCTTTGTGTGTTGGCACCAATGACTTTGAGTTCTGTAAACATTTCTACATATTTGACAGAAATGTTTCCTGTCGTTGTCAGTCTCCCGGGGTTCTTCTGCAGCAGTGTGATTATTCTTGTCTTTAAAACAAAGTTTTACTTCTTCTAGAGGAAAGAAAAACCGGATAGAATTAATTACAGTACAATATTCAAACTTTCTCAAGTTTATACAGCACCTCTCCTCCAGTCTTCTACCAGCCCTGACTGACTGCGATTCTCAGTTATTAATTGTGATGAAGCTATCTCATGTTTAGTCTTAGTTACACTCTGATCTCCATGCATAGGACCACAGTCAACTCCATTACAGGCAGGACCGTGCTTGACGCAGCTGGAATCAGACTCCTACAAGGAAGAAAGTTAAATTACTAGTAATTAGTGAGTAAAAAATAAATTAAATTAAAAAAAAAAACTTACAATTCAAACCACTCAAGTCCATAATTTTATGTTAAGCATTCCTTAGACAGTTTTAGCCTCGAAGATAGTATTTGTTATTTCCATAATGTTGTTGTTGTGTTTACCCATATTGCATTTCTGCTACTGCAACTACAACTACTGAAGTTTCTACTTTTTTTCCCCCAATTAATTTTTTGTTTTTGGTGTGGTTTCCTTTTCCACATCTCGAGTCTGAAGGATAGAGCGACAAATGTGTGTTTTTTGGTGACATAACAAATTGATGACATGAATTAACATCGCATTATAAAAAAACATTTAGTACTTTAGTAACATAAACAACATTTAGATTATTGGAATTCCTTTAATTTAATAATTCAATGTATTCATCTAATTTTGAAGTATTGGAATACCAGATAAATGATCTCAGCCCTCCAGAGTATTTAATTACTTACATCTGACTGGTATAAACAGATAACCAGATCAGTTAACCTTATTGTAGGGAGGTCAATGTGTGGTCACCAGTAAGCCCAGTACTATATAGATAAAAACATCTTTCTACAACAATCTCCAGTTACCACCAGGGGGCGCAAACTGCTCAGTCTTATTTGAAATCTTATACTAATGAGAGGAGTTCAGAGGAGGTCAGGTGTGATGAATAATACAATAGAAAAGATTTTCACAGATTTTAGCCCTGTTACAGTTAATCAAGGGGTAATGGGAGCTGACATTAACTACTGGTCAGGTATTTCAGAACATAAATCAGGGACAAGATTACTGCACAACTATGTTTCTGACCACCTGTGGTCACAAGGACAAAATTAAGCTTCCTGCCATGGGGCATAGAGCTCAACAACTCATTATATTCACTACACCCATGCACTGCAAAGAGGTAGTTTGAGGTGATTTGAAACCTGGGATGCATGAGAGGGGTCCTGCTATTGGAGGTACACCAAGCAGAGATAAAACTACCTAGGGGCAGAACCAGGACACATAACAGCAGCTACATCTGCCAACATGCAATTAAAGGTGCACTGATCAACTTAAAGTCAGTTATTAATAAATACTGGGACACAAATGGGGTCCTGAAAGACACCCAGACCTTAAACAATTGCTGTATTCTTTTTAAATCTAGAAACTAGAGCAGGAGCTTTTGTAAAATAATGACGGCCAATGTAATGATGAACAACTGAAACTTTTATTTTCAACTTGAATGTTTTTACATGAAAGCACAGGTGTAATTAATAACACTGATAACAACCTGCATGGCATCTGCAGTAAGCGAGCCACCTCCAGAGCCACGGATTGTGTGTGATGTGGGTGAAACCAGCAACGGCATTTAAACAAGATAAATAAACACATACCAGTAGTACAACATTTTCTGGAACGTGGCAGGAATTCTGTACAACCCAAGACAACAATGGACAGTACATATAATTACCTTACCTTACCTCCAGGCACTGGAACTATTTATTGATTTATTAATGTTTGAACTGTACGATTAACTCCAGACAAACTGTCTCTCTGTGCTCTTGAGAGGTTAAACTACAAGTTCAGTGTGTAAATGTAAATTCCAAATGAACACTGACTCTGTTTCCTCTACAGTTATTTTTAGGAACCTCCCTACTATTTTTGATTTTAGCAAACTAAGTACATTTACTCGAGTACTGTATTTAGTTCTTTTCTTTTTCTGCCACTTTCTATTTCTACTCCGCTCTGTCAGAGGGAAATTTTTACTTCATTGAAACTGAAACTTTCAAACAAATTAAGGTTTTGGCATGTAAAACATAAGAAGAGCTTATAAAGTATGAAATACATAACAGATTTAACTACCCAATAGAATATACAAGTACAGCTGACACAATGCGTCGATTAATCAATTAGTCAACTTCTATAATACGGTAATAAAGTCATTTTTCATAAAGAAAAGACAAATATTTCATTGTTGCAGCTTCTCAAAGTTGAGGATTTGCTGCTTTTCCTTTTCAATATTTAGAAAATAATTTTTTAAAAATAATTTGGTGGTGTTGTTTAAAAACAGCTCCACCTTAACCAACTACAACAGTAAAATCCTGTTATTATATTAATGCATAAGTAATAATAATCTAATTATATAATATATCATAGTATAACAGTCGCAGGGACATTGACTACTTTTACTTTTTATACATTAAGTACATTTTCCTGAATATATCGGTAGTTAAATACTTTTACTTAAAGAAACATTTTAAATACAGGACTTTTATAGTGTGATATTGGTACTTAAATACCATTACTGCAAAGTTGGTGTCCTGTATGAAACAGTTTAAAAATAGCTCCATCTCAACCAACTACAACAGTAAAATCCTGCTATTACATTAATGCATGAGTAATAATATTCTAATTATATAATATATTATTTTTTCTGCATTGACTCATTTTATTTGTATACATTAAGTACATTTTCCTCATTATACTTCCATACTTTTACTTAAAAGCAACATTTTCAATACAGCACTTTGACTTGTAACAGAGTATTATTACAGTGTGATATTGGTACCTTTACTGGAATACCAGACAACCTGATGTTTTAACCCCTCTCACTCTGCAGCAGTCAGTCAAAACTTACACTTTGTTATTGGACAGCAGGCTAACAGCTAACTAGCCATGTTTACACACACACCTCAGGCCTTTCTGTGCACATTTACCACAACTCACCTCATTCATGGTGGCTTCAAATCATCCAGTTGGCTCTCAACTCACACCCAAGAGTCTCAGCATCGCCACTGTGCACGCACGGACAGGTATCTGGGGTGTTTTGTACCAGCAGCGATGCACTACTACAGTTAGCATGAGGCGCTAGCTGGAGAAGGAGGCAGGCTAGTGTTGAGGGGGTTGCCAGATAAGAGGGGCAGAAAGAAACAATCCGAGCTGTCAAATAGAGCCCATAACGACTGTCTGCTCACATCCCTGAAACACTGCCCTGCTTTCACGGTCTCAACAGTATCCTCACCTCATTTTAAATCTGATTCCTACAAGGATTCACAGATAAATATTGTTTTTATAGATTAAATGTGAATGTTTTTTTTCCCCTGATGCACACTGTATGACTGCACTGATATCTTAGATTCATTATAGGCAACATATAAAATATATATACACACTGTGGGGTGTCTAAAAATATAAAACTGTGTATGTTTTGACTAATAAGCTTATGAGAATTTACATAACACATTTCTACCTTGGAGCAAAATCTGCATATGAATACTTATTACATTTAAGTTATCCTGATGGCAATACTTCCATATTAACTGTTAAATAAAGTGTAAAAACTATAGATGTTTGTTTTATATTTGCATATAATTACCCAGTAGGTGTTGTAGTGTAGTGGACACCTACCTACCTGGATCAGACCATGATATTAGCTAATGACAAGATGGGAAACCTTCAGGTATTTTACTATTGAAGCAATCTCGTGGTTTTTATATGAATTTTCTGCAAATCAAACTATAAATTTATTTCCACATTAGCTGTAGACTTTATTAAAAAGATTCTGAAACATTTAACCAGCTTTGAAATTATTGCTGTAAATGCTGTAAAGCTTCTGCAGCAGAATCCACTCCTCCACTGTCCCTCCGTGTGCCCAGTTTGTTCAAAACAGCTCATACTTTAACCAAAATATGACTACTATGGACACTAAATACGCTTTTCTTTTACAAGACTGAATGTAAATAAGAACAGAATAAAATAACCTAATGAAAAACTGATAACTGATAACGATACTACAGTGAGCTACAGTTTTTAGAGGTCACACAATAAGTTGAATGGAGATCACAGACCAAGGTTAACACCACTTATTTAAAGGCTGTAACAGCTTTTTACTCAATAAGAGATCATAGATGTAGATGTGATGGGGGCAAATAATGGAATAAATAACATTATTGTATTTTATACTTACTTTAGATCAGTTTGTAAAGATTTGTTTTCACTCTGTTGTTGTAGTCTTTCTTATATTTAGTTAATCAGTTTAAGAAATAACTAAATATTAATCTTAAATATTGTAAATGAGTAATCTACAAACTCTTCGCAGCCAACTTTAAAGGCTACAGGGGAACAGGATTTGGATGGATACTCACTTTGGGAAGAAGTAACACAGTCATCCATCTAGAACTGAAGTTTTTGTGCAGTTTGTTCGACTATAACAAAAACTGATTGGGCAATGTAAGGATACATCATTCAACATGTAGAAAAAAAAAACCCAGACATGTTTAAGAAAAAGTTCTGTATTCCATCATGATGGATTTTAAAATAACAAGGATATTGTGCATAATTTTTTAACATTAAATATTAGTATTTGGCATGCAGGATACAAAGGCACTCAAATTGTACAGATGGGCTACTAGAGAAGAGTGAACGAAAACATGGGTACAAAACATGAATACAAGAAGGACAACACAGTAAGCTTCCACATTATTCTTGGCAATCCACACCGACTCTGTAGCGCATATTTTCAGACATAGTTACTACCTCTGCTGTAGGTGGAAGGAATGGAAGGAAGAAGATCAGGAAATAAGCGCAAATTACTGCAATATCTTCATCAAACACAGTTAACAACAAAAAAACCGCATCAACTGATCAACTGTTAGATGTCCAGCCTGGCCTCTTGCTTCGGCCTTCCAAGCTGTCTGGTTGGCCCGATGCGTCTTCCAGCATGTGTGCGCTGATGCTGCCGCAGACCCTGGCGGTAGATGAAGCTCTTCCCGCATTCTCCACACTCGTAGGGTCTCTCTCCAGTGTGAAGCCTGTGGTGCACCTTCAGCTCCTCAGCTCTGGAGTAGCCTTTCCCACAGACGCTACAAATGAAAGGTCTGTCTTTGATGTGGGTCTGGTAATGTGCTGTCAGGTACGAGTTTATCCGAAACGTCTTCCCACAGATGGAGCAGGCGAACGGCCTCTCGCCCGAGTGCTGCATCTCGTGAAGCTTGAGAGAGGAAGCTGTGTGGAAACCTCTGCCGCACTGGGAGCAGAGGAACGGTTTCTCCCCAGTATGGATGCGCTGGTGAATCTGTATGTAGCTCTCATTGATGAACCTCTTGCCACAGTCGGGACACGAGTAGCGCTTCTCCTTCACGTGGGTTTTCATGTGTTCTTCCAGCTTTTCTTTCTCACTGAACTGAATGCCACAGCGGCGGCAGAACAAAAGCTGTGATGTGCTGTGCTCGACTGCATCTGATTCACCGGCTGTTTCTGAGTGTGTAGTAATGTGGTGTGCTTGTAAAGCTGACTGACTCTCACATTCTTTCCCACATTCCAGGCAACGGAGGGATGATCTGATCCTGGACTCTCCCGGCAGAGACTTCAAGTATTCAGAGAGTTCTGACGCTATTGGATTGACCTCATCGTCAAAATCCACAGCGCCCTTACGACCTTCGCAGAGACAAAAGGAGAGTAAATCATAGGTTTATTTTCAAGTATAACCATCTTTAGCATTGTGCAGGACTTCAATTTGAATTCACTTACGGTTTACACTGAGTCAAGTATTGTACTCGGATCAATTTTGTCTTTCCAAGTTGACTCTGTGTTGCCAGTTTGGGGTCAATTCTTTGGATATTTTATGTATTTAAGGTTTGCTCTGTGTTGCGCTGCTCTGCCTTCCTTTACATAATCACTACAATTATGTAATTTAGAGACTTTTCTAAACCACCTTGCTGAATTTCCTGTGTTGCTCTGTGTACATTGATGCAGCAAGAAAAAGGCCAGTTATTCGACTGACAGCATGAGGTTTGACTCTGGGGGCTCCTAGGCTGATGATCATTGAGTTTTATGGGGCAGCCATATTGTCTCAAATCGTGGGTTTGAAATACATCTAGGCACTCACAAATACAAAACAATACAGGTCATCCATACAAAATACCAAACTCGAGATGACTTCTGAATCTTTAGTTTTTGTCCAGCAAAAAAAAAAAAAAGAAATCTGTATTATGATATTTACATTACATATATGTAGACAACACATATTCTAGGATATAATTGTAAATGTAAATAAAATAAAATAAAGTATAATCCAGTCTCACCTAAGTGGACTTTGTAGTGCGTTTTGAGATTCCCCTTCTGGTTGAAACCCCGCCCACAGATGGAGCAGCAGTAAGGTCTCTCTCCTGTGTGGATCAGCTCGTGCCTCTCTAGTTTGTAGGCATGAGGGAATTCTTTGCCACACACTGAGCAGTGGTACTCTATCTTCTCTTTGGGCTTCTTCAGGAGCTCAGGAGGGATTTCTATTGGAATGCGAACCATTTTTCTGCCCGGACGCTTCTTCCCTATGTGGGGAAAGAGAAGGTGAAATTAAAAAATAAGCTTGTGGACACATACTGACCAGATTCTGTGTTTTAAAATAGTCATCATTAGTTTGTTGCTTTTACTATTTTGCTCTTGCTCTGGTGTAGTTTTGATTTTCTCATCAATACCTGGTTTGTGACTCACTCACAAACTGAAAGTCACTGTTTCATGTTGAGGAAGATGCAGATCGGTCTGTTCATAGTCAGACCAGTTTTACACATGCCTTTCTCACATACAAGAAAGGAAAATAACCGCAGTAGCAGTTTAGACCTGTAGATGTGACGTGATAGCTGTTTACACACAGCACCACCTGCAGGCAGTTACAGCTGAAGATGATTCTTTTTCATAGCTGCAGTTTTATTTGTTTTTGAGGTTTTACATGAACAAAGATAAAAAATTTAGGGATGTTGTGTTAATATTTGAAAAACATTTTTTTTTTTAAATGTCAAATGTTTTTTATGGTAACATCTATGACCTCTCTCAACCACAATATGCACCATGTCTACATCGAAACCGCCACTACGACTATTTTTCTTTCTGATTTGTGAAACAGGTTGGACTTGAAACTGCTGCTGCTCTGCATGGGGACGACTATCAAAGATGATGATGATTCTGTAATGTGTGTTCTTTGTGTTAAAAGTGCTTTAGAGAACATTGTAAAAAGTCAAACACATCCTGTCAACAGTGTATGCACCACACTAAATCACAGAACCAGGTTTATTTAACTGCAGGCAACCATTGCAGCAATACTTTTATTAAACCCTACATTACCAGTTAACACACTGTTGAAACCGAGCTAACCATGGGATGCACTACCACGCTGGTTATACACTCTCGTGGTCCTGTTTATCTGCTCTCACCAGCACTTGTTTTTTCTCCTTCTCCTTCAGCAGATGGTTTGGTATCTTTCCTTCGTCTGTAAGGTCGCTTTGCTGGTAGAAGAAAAAAAATGTTTATTGCTTTACTCTAAAACATAAAACTGATGTTACACTGTCATATGAATATGGGTTGGGTATCAAGATTCAAAACTATCTTTAGGTATTCATATTTACAATACGGCTTCACAGAACAAGTGATTTTCCATTTTAAAAAAAATATGGAAAGAGGTGTTGCCTATTAATGAACTGTCTGTGACAATTTGTTTTCCCCACTCTTGCACACTGTGCAATATACCCAACAGACCTGTTTTTCTTTTATAGCTAGAATAATAATGAAATGAAATTAACTAGAATCAATAAGCATAATAGGACTAAATCCAAACAATACCCAACCCTACTTGTGAACCTTGGGTTTTTGCTTGTCTTACCAACAGCTCGGCGGACAGTTTTCGTGTTTACTTCTTCTGATTCCACTATGATAGGGACATTTCTCTTTCTTCGGGTGCGCCTTGATACTGTAAGATCAAAAATTAGACTTGTAATAAGAAAACAATTTGTATAAAAATGCATTCAATTGCCATAAAAATCAAGAGGAACACTCACTTCCAGGCTCTGCCTCTAAGTCCTCACTGGACAACAGTGGAACTTCTGAAATCTTTCTTCTGCCTCTTC